TATCTTGTCTTACTTTTGTTTTAATATTCATGTTAGGTTTTTTTGTTGGATTAAAAAAAAAAAGAAGAGCAGATCAAAAATTCTCTAGATGACATTAAAGTTTCGAATACGATTGAAATGATGAATTTCGATAATCTCTTTCGACATTTTATATTAACTCAATCATTTGTACGTGGTTGGGCAAATTCATTTCATTTACAAGAAATTTTTACCTATCGACATAAAAAAATTGATGTAAGAGGCGAATGTTTAAAACTTGTATCAGCTGAAAATGTACAACAAAATGCTGTTGAAATAATTAAACAAGAAATAAAAAGCAATCAAAATTATACAAATGCTCGATTTCGTTCACCACTTGCCAATTATTTACCACATTTGGTAGGAAATTAAAATCATTTTAATCATTTAATTAATATTATCTTTTTTTCTTTTGTTATATTTATTTGAATAGGTTACACCTCAAGTAGCTACAGCTCATTTTCAACTTGTTTCACCACGTGATCATCGTTTTGGTAATGATTCAATTTCAATAGGAATTTCTTATGCTGAAACAGAGATAATCATGGTTTTAGTCGACGAAGGCTACTTACTGCAGTTCCATTAATTAATCAATATCGTATAGGTTCAATTCTTCTTGAAAATTCATATTATGGTTTAAGAAAACCACCAGATCAATCTCGTTAATCATTATTGTATGTTACTGATTTATATATTATGGGTAAAGCACTTGTTTTAGAAACATTTGTATTACTTCATTAGTGTAAAAAAAATGAAATTAACGTAAGCTATTCTACATGGTTTTTCTCTTGGTGGACATATGGCTTCATTAGCATTAACAAAGTAAGATTCAATTCTATTATTTGATCTATTTAATGAATGAATATACAGTATCTATCATAATTTTAAATAATGATTCAAATAGCGCAAACCATATTACAAAAAGAATATAAATTAAAAACATTGATTATTTGATTCCCTAAGTTAGGATTTTTTTAGACAACCCAAAAGCCTAATTTCTCAGTATCTAGTACTTGAACTCTCTAGGATGATTTTTTATTGAGTAAAAGTTGAATAATTTTGGTAGCCATTGTGTATATATTTATATTTTAGATGGCCTGATCTTCCTTGTCGACAATTCTATGAAAATATAGCCTCTCAAACATTTTATGATTATTTACGTGAACGAAACTGATCAATAGATTCAAATAAAATTGTTCTCGATCTTATTAATATATCTAATGCTATGTTTATTGCTTGTACACATGATGGTTATGTATTACGTGATGGTATTCCACATATGAATGATGTATGGCCTAGTATTCATATTCGATATATTCCTCCTGGACATGTTAGGGCATTTTTATTTAATCAGTCAGGCTTTCATCATGCTGCTGCTGCTAAAATGTTACAACGACAAGAACCATATGTAAAACTAAAAAAACATCTAATCATATCACCAATTTCTGTTACTACACCTAAAAATGTGTGAAGATATATATTTTTTTCATATAGATATTTTCTCGAAAAGTATCAAATATTTCCTAGTTTTTGTGTTATGATTTGAATAATAACTCAGAGAAAAGAAAACTTTTGATCAAATATAAACTAGATAATATATTAATCGTTTTGTTTTTTAAGTATAATTTGTATGACTCTGGTAAAAACATGAGCAAACATTTTTTTGTCTTATTTATCAGCAAATAGATATTGAGAGAACTTCTCCAACTGATATCCTCTGTTCGAGCTCATAAGTAGGACTCATAGTCATGATGAAAATATTAAACATGTTTGTGCTCTTAAGCCTTTCATGATTTTTCTATTAAATTTTCAGCATATTGCAGGATATTAGCAAAAAAACTGCTATAACGAGTCTCCATTTGAAACTTTCTCCAATAACAGATTTCATAACAATTATTACATTCTAAAAGTTTTAACTCAAACGAATGGATCCAAGTCAATCCATCAGACAGTGAGATCAATCACAGATTCTTGCACGTTCACTACAAGATCGTACAATTTGATTTCACTATATTGTTTGAATTCTTTACAATAACCCACACAGGTTAGAGTTGGGTGTGGGTGTGGGTCTCGTACTTCTCTTCAATCACACCCATACCCCAGCCACCCCACACCCGCACCCACACCCTTTTGCTAATGGAAATATAGAAAGTAATGGATATGTAGGAGGTAGCTGTATGTTTGAAGAGGAGTCACTTTCATCCATATCCACACAGTTACTATTAGATCGTTTCATAGACATATTG